GTTATTGCTCGTTTTTAAATCGTTGAGTTTGTTAATAAAAAATTCGTAAAGTTTTATAAAATATGAAATCGATAATATAACAAATTCCAAATTTCAAATTTGGTCTTCCACATGCCCATATTCGTACGAGGATTGCGTCATTCTAAATTCGATGGCTCTATGTACCGTTGTTTTATCACATTGCGAGAAATATGCATACATTGATGCAGATTTTTCATTATTTAATTTCTTCAAATATAATGCAGGAGTCTAACATTTGGTGGCAACAGTTTGAAAAGTGATTCGCCGCTTATAGTGATTCAACGCAAAATCGCAAAACGAAAACAATAGTGCTTCAGGGACAAAGCCCTTTCGGACTAATAAAATTTAAAAAAAAAATAAAATATAATTTTAAAAATTTGAAAGGTTTCAGATTTTAAATTACGTCCAAAGAAGCGTTTTATTAAAAATTTTTCTGTTGCCTTTATCAAATATCACGTCCTTCGCCCTTAAACCATAAAATTCAGTTAAGAGCAATATAGCAAAATAGTTTTAAATTGAGCATATCCTTTAGAATTTCCGATACACAGTCTTGCGCGTTGGAGATAAAATGTTTTTTCTGTACAACATTGCCATGGCTCGCTTTGAAATCCTTGAGTTCATTAATCAAAAATTCGTTAAAGTTTTACAAAATATGAAATTGATAATAAAACAAATTCCAAATTTAGGCTTTTGGGCAATTTGGGAATTTTTTCCTGTACATTGTTGCCGTTGCTTGTTCGCTTTGAAATCGTTGAGTTTGTAAATAAAAAAAACTCTTTAATGTTTGACAAAATATGAAATAGATAATAAAACAAATTATAAATTTGGGCTTCCGGATGCCCATACTCGAGTGGAAGGCTACGTTTTTCAAAATTGGATGTCTCTAGGTATCGTTGTTTTTTTGCAGTGCAAGAAGCACACGCATATTCATGCAGATTCTGTATTATTTAATATCTTTAAATATAACTCAGGGCTCTAATATTTGGTGGCAACAATTTGAAAAGTGGACCGACATTTATAGTCTATAAGGTATTTCTCCCGCCTTCTTAGCATGCCTTCGTGGTGTAGTGGTCAGCACGCTCGCCACGTATTCGTCAGGTCCGAGTCCCGGCGAGTGCATTCTGCGTCCAAAATATCCTAATGACTCTACAGTGGCGCCCGAACTAAAATAGGTGATGGATGATGATTCTCCAGCACCAGGATTTGGCGATTGGGTCTCCTAATCCCTAGTCGCCCTTTAAAAGAGGGAGTACATAAGGTATTTCTGCCGCCTTCTTTGCATGCCTTCGTGGTGTAGTGGTCAGCAGGCTCGGTGCGTATTCGAGAGGTCCGAGGTTCGAGTCCTGGCTAGGGAATTGCTCATTTTTCATCTTTCCTGCTTCAAAAAATTCCAAATGACTCTACAAGTGAATCGACGCCGAATGCCAAAACGAAATTAATAGCCCTGCTGGGCAAATTGCTCTTTTGGGCTAGAAACTAATTATTTAATAAATACAATGTAACAGTTAACTAATTAATTAATAATAACTAAGTACTTAATAAAAACAAAAACACTATAATAGTTAATAACAGCTAATTAATTAATAATAAATATACTATAATAGTTAATTCATAATACCTAATTAATTAATAACGAATACAGTGTAATAGTTAACTAATAATAACTAATTAATTAATAGCGAATACAGTGTAATAGTTAATTAATAATAACTAATTAATTAATAGCGAATACAGTGTAATAGTTAATTAATAATAACTAATTAATTAATAATGAATACTATATAACTGTTAATTAATAATAACAAATGCAATTTAATAGATATAATAAATAATAACAGAAGATATAGCTTGGAATTTAACATTTTAAAAAGTTTACCTTTCTTTTAGCATTAATTACAGTAAAAAGTTATTAAATACGTGTATTCAAACGGGAAATGGCAAAGATTAGCCTTTCCAGAAAAAAATTCCCTTACAATAATTTATTTAAATTTGAATATTTAATAATTGTCATAAGCATGAATATCTCTTTGCAATAATCAACTATTCGAACCAACAAACTGATACCACCAACTTTTTTCTTCTGAGCCTAAAATACGTCATATTAAAAACAAATGTTCTACGAATAAGATGTAGAGACATTAGGATTTTTTTCGAAAGCAAGAGAGATGAAAAATGAACAACGCCTTCGCCGGGAATCGAACCGCGGACCTCTGGAATACCGGCCCAGTGTGCAGAACCACTACAACACGAAGGACGCTAGGGAAGTGGGAGAAATACCTTATAAAGAAAAAAAAACTGAAGTTAGACTAGAGGTTAGAAGTAAACTTTGCTGTTTATTATTCAGTTTAAGTTACAACGATTTATAAAACCATACCTTCAATGCAAAAAATACCCATTTTTCTGCAGTAAAAATAATAGTACAAAATAAAGGGTTTCAATTACCCTTTTCCTTGACTCAGTATTAAAAATTCACTTTGATAATTTTTCAAAATTCTTCTTTTTAACGCTTTCAGCTCTAACAACCTCATTGTCTAAATTCAAAATAAATAAATAATAATAATAATAATAAAAAATAAATAAATAAATAAAAATAAAAATAAAAATAAAAATAAATAAAAATAAAAATAATAATAAAATAAAAATAAAAAAAAATAAAAATAAAAAAAAAATTAAAAAAATTAAAAAAAAGAAAAGAAAAATGTCTCTTTTTTTTTTTTTTCGTTCTAAGAAACAGGGTATTTCTAATTCCTCGAAATAATTATAAATGTTTCAAACATAATTAATTAATATTTTTTCAAATTTCCCATAGCGGGTACTACTAAAACGTTGATCACTAACTAAGGCCCGAAGCGGTGGACACTTTACTATGAAGGCACCTAATAGTTGGGCCAGCCTTGCTTCCTATGAAGGAATAGACAATTTACATCCATGCCTTCTCGGGGATTCGAACCCGTGCCCTTCGGTACAGTAGTCAGAATCCCTAACCACTTTCACGTCTGGGCGGAGTGGCGTAATTAATTATGCAATATATTAATGTAATGTAATAGGATTATATTAATGTAATGTAATGTGTCGTGTAATAGGATCTTTATCAATGTACAGGACATGATGAACGAAATTAAAATCATTACAGCTTTCTCTTTATTATTACCCTGATCTGATTGCGTCCATGCACCATTTTAACTCAAATAAAATAAAAATCTGAAAGGATTCAGATTTTAAATTACGTCCAAAGGGGCGTTTTTTTTTTTTAACATTTTGTGTCTTACCTTTATTAAGTACCATGTTCTTCGCACTTAAACCATAAAATTCAGTTCAACAGCAGTATCGCAAAATAATTTTAAAATGAGCATATCTTTAGAATTTCCGATATATAGTCTCATGCGGTGGAGATAAAAATGTTTTTTCTGTACAACGTTGCCATTGCTTGCTCTGAAATCGTCGAGTTTGTTTGTAAGATTTTCATTTGTGTAAATCTCAATTACTGTAGAAAGTGACGAATCTTAAGACCTAGTTAGCGAATAATCGCTCAAGTTCGTGTGGCAAGAAACAACTAGATAGAAGGGTAACTAACCCTTTATTATTTCAATAAGATTTAACAAAACTCCGTCTTGGAGTGTACAATCAAAGCCGACACTTGGGCTTGAACTTAAGAGACTAAGAATTAAACTAAAACTAAGATTAACTAAAGAAATATAGCCGAAGCTATCAAGTTTCTAATGCAGTTGGCCTCTTAAACACCAGATGACAGCGAAGCTATCAAGGGGAGGGATGCCTTCGTGGAGGACTTTCTAAGAGAAACTGGCTCGGATACACGTTACACATGGGCAAAACCACGAAAACGCCCATGCAGCCAGCCTGTTTGCGGGATTTGAACCTCGGACCGAACTACCAGTGTTCAGCGACTTTACCGCTCGGCCGCTGGTGGGCACATCAAGGGACTGAGTACGGCCGAGCGTAATAACAGCTTTGAGAGAGGGGAGTGGCCAAAAGGCAGACGCGCGTAAATCAGAAACTCTCATTCTCTCTCGCTAAGACCAAAGAACTTTGCGGTTAAATACCGCTCTTCCTCATTATGTATTCAGACGTGATTCTAGAACTACGTTCTGCCTGGAAGTAGTAAGTTGAAGTTAAGAATTTGACAGGAAAGGAACTTTCACTTAAAATTTAACTGTTAATAAAATTAACATAATCCTTACGTGTTAATCAAAAATTCGTTAAAGTTTTACAAATTATGAAACCGATAATAAAACAAATTCCAGATTTCAAATTTGGGCTTTCAGATGCCCAGGAAAGCATATTCGCAGGAAGATTACGTTATTTAAAACTGGATGGCTCTAGGTACTGTTGTTTTATCCCAATGCGAGAAACATACATACATTTATGCAGATTCTTCATTATTTAATTTCTTTAAATATAATACAGAGCGATAATATTTGGTGGCAACAATCTGAAAAGTGAAACAACGCTTGTAGTGAATCGACGCAAAATGCCAAGACGAAATTAATAGTCCTTCTGCGCAAATTGCTCCTTTGGATTAATAACACCCATCCATTAGTTGTTAGATTAATTTGTTTAAAATAACAACTTTAATGATTTAATGATTTAAAATACGAAATTTCCAAACGGTAATTGTATTACTTGAAGCTAAGTTATCCCAAATGCGAGAAACATACATATATTTATGCAGATTCTTCATTATTTAATTTTTTTAAATATAATACAAGGCGATAATATTTGGTGAAGTGAAACAACGCTTGTAGTGAATCAACGCAAAATGCCAAGACGGAATTAATAGTCCTTCTGGGCAAATTGCTCCTTTGGACTAATAAGACCCATTTATTAGTTGTTAGATTAATTCGCTTAAAATAACAAATTTAATGATTTAAAATACAAAATTTCCAAATGGTAATTGTATTACTTGAAGCTAAGTTACGTTATAATACCACCGAAAAGTCATTAAAATTGATAAAATATACCTTTAACGGTAAATCTTTCCACGTTTCTCTTATCTTGCGATAACGGTTTTCGAGAGTTTCATTCCAGATCCCGATACCCCTGTTATCGGGCACACCAAAGTCCAGTTTGGGGTAAATATCTCCTAATACTACTCTCTCGGATTCGGGTCGCGGATTTTTGTTTTTCTTGCAGTTGTCTGGAGCGGACCACCATAGTTTCCACCAAGCGGCTGCAGAAGTCTGAGACTGCGGAATGATCTTCAGAATGGTTTCATCAGGAACCGGTGAGTAGTAGATAGTCACCAACCAACAACCGCCGAGAAGTACTAAGGCCAAGAGGGCACGGGATCGGAACCGGCGGGGAAGCCGTCCGAGCATATCTGGACTGCGAAACGGGCCGCGATTGAATGATGATATGGAATGAATTGTACACCTCCGTGTTTGATAAAAACCTCTTGTAGCGGAAGTGGAAGATAAGGCTGATTTAACGGCAGCTGACAGCTTTTCAGTTGGTTCAGAGGAAGTGCAACAAGTCTTTTCATTTCCATCCGACTTTTGTAAAAGGGACAATAGCTTTGAAACTAATTACTAATTGGATGATAGTCATCTTGTTCTAGGTAAAAATTAGTTACCAGACGCAATTAATTTCGGATTAATGTATCATTTCTAGACGTAAACAACTTGATGCGGACACTACATCCTTGTTAGGCCTATTAAATTGTGCGCAGTTTTTGCTGCGCTTCATTTAAAGTTATTTCCTCGAATTTTTCCAACTTATAAACCTCTGAGCGCCACGGCCGGCTTTACCCGGTCATGAGATTTTTTTGTCACTTGGCATATATCTTTCTTACTTTCTTAAAGAATACAAATGTCATCTTAATTTAAAAAAGTTTATGAAGTTAAAAGTTTAAGTAAAAAAGTTAAAACTTAAGTTAAAAGTTTGTTAAAAGTTTAAGTAAGTTTATGAAAATAGAGCCTAAAGTTGTAGCGTCATTAGTATCTTTTTGGAAGCAGGCAATATGAAAATTGAAAAAACGCCTTCGCCGGGAATCGAACCACGGACCTCTGGATACCGGCTCAGCGTGCTACAGTTGCACCACGAAGGCACTCTAGGGAAGTGGGAGAAATACCTTATATACTCCCCTTTTTAAAGGGCAACTAGGGTTTTAGGGGACCTAGTCGCCAAATCCTGGGTGCGGAGAATCGTCTTCCATAACCCTTTTAGTTCAGGCGCCACTTGTAGAGTCATTAGCATATTTTTGGAAGCAAGCAATATGAAAATTGAGAAAACGCCTTCGCCGGGAATCGAACCACGGACCTCTGGATACCGGATCAGCGTGCTACCGTTACACCACGAAGGCACGCTAGGGAAGTGGGAGAAATACCTTATAAAGTAAGTAAATATACAAATTTAGCTGATAAAAGCTCATTGAATACAGGTCTTCATGACAGATGCAAAAGCCGGAGCCGCTCAGAGGGTTAATTAACCGATCCCTAAAGGCAAGCTGAAAATGAAGTCAAAAATTACAAATTTTCAAATAAAATATCCCAGACAATTTGTTTGTCATACGAGTGTCAAACTTATTTTACTTTTGAAAGGTATTTCTCCCACCTTCCTAGCATGCCTTCGTGATGTAGTAGTCAGCACACTCGACGCGTATTCGAGAGGTCCGTGGTTCGATTCCCAGCGAAGGCGTTTGCTAATTTCACATCTTATGCTTCCAAAAAATCCTAATGTCTCTACAGTGGCGCCCGAATTAAAAAAAAAGGTAGTGAATGATGATTCTCCACCACCGGGATTTGGCGACTGGGTCTCCTAATCACCATTCGTCCTTTAAAAGGTGGAGTACATAAGGTATTTCTCCATCGTGGTGTAATGGTCAGCACGCTCGACCAGAGGTTCGTGGTTCGAGTCCCGACGAAGGCATTGCTCGTTTCACATCTCCTGCTTTCGAAGAAGTCCTAATATATCTACACTTTATTTATTTATTTTTTTTTCATTACGAGGATAAGACCCACCAGCGGCCGAGCGGTAAAGTTACTGAACGCTGGTAGTTCGGCCTGAGATTCGAATTCCGCGAACGGGCTGCCTTCACGGGCGTTTTCGTGGTTCGAGACAATTTATCATAGAAAGTCCTCCACGAAGGCATCCCTCCCCTTAGCCCTTGCCGTAATCACGTAAGCCAAGCCAAAACATTACGAGGATAAAACTTTCCCAAATATAAGTATACGAATTGAGAGACCGAACTAAAAGTTAGACTTCGTTATTTGTCGAAAACTAATTATTTTTTAGAACTTGACCTTGCCGAGACATGAATATTATTTTTCGTCATTTCTGTAACTGGAAGTATATATCTACGACGAACTTTTGCGAAAATAAATGCCGGCTAAGGAATATTAAGCCCGTTAAGAGGGGGCGTAAAATTTAATTATTAAAATTTATATCATAATCTTAGCAGCGATGGCCCAAGATTTGGCTTAAGTACACTTTTAATGTTTATTTACATCTCATATATATATATTTGGTACTGCCGATCTCAATAAAAAAGGGAGGTGCACAACTAGACGTTATAGCAGTTTCTTATACAAAATTTCATAGTTAATCGTTTCTGAATTATGCGAGATATATACAAACGTATGTATAGACGACTTTTGAATTCCTTTTAAATCCATTTTATAATCCGTTTTGGAAAGAATAATCCTTTATTCTATTGGTATATGCAGACGTCACGCAAAAAAATCGTCCAAATAGATTCGGGAACGGTAAAAATGGATATTTCCGTTGAAATCTGATACCCGAAATTTTTCACAATTACAATACTTTCTTTACTTCGTACATAGAAGTAAAAGTGTGAAGTCTTATATTGGCTGGTTGCGAAAGTGATTGTGTTTTTTCTCAACAGAGGGCTCAATTGCATTTTTTCACAGTCAATTTCACACTTAAGCCGCATACTCATCATATATTTTGACAGCTAATATAGCAAGGCTTGTTTGTGAAAACGTTCGATTGATTCTACGCAGTAGTTTTTCGCAAGAGCCCTTTCAAATACTAAAAATGAAAAGCAGCATTTTCAGCTTATTTTACTTTTTTACTCTCAAAAAGGTAAAAAGTAAAAATGCTGTTGAAACAACAACAACAAGAAGAACAACAAACAAACAAACACACACACACACACACACACAACAAAAAAAAAAAAAAAAAAAAAAAAAAAAAACCATCCACTTTTATCCGATGTGTATGGAGAAGATGTATTAACAGAACGCCACTGCCAAAACTGGTTTGTAAAATTTATATCCTAGAACAGAGCTTCTTAAACTTTTGTCATTCACGACCCCATTTATGATTGCGAGTTTCTTGACGACCCCATACAAATATAAAAGAAAAATAAATTAATATTTTTTGATGATTTATTTATTAGGTAACAATATACATATACATATGAAAATATATAAGTTTAGAATTCGTTTTGAAACATACAAAAATCTAAAATTAAAAATTGCACAAAAAATTATAAAATTGTATTTATTATAGTTTCAAACATAAAAGTGGATTCTGACCGCCTTAATTCTCTCGAATATATTCAAGTAGTTGCGTGGTAAGTATTAAAGTATAAGTAAAAAATTTAATGAGATGGATGTGCCTGTTTTTTATCGCATAACAAATCAAATCTTGGTGGAATGTTTGAAACTGCTGGACGTAAGACCTCTTCAACATTTTTTAACGCTGAACGATATTGGGATTTAATATGTGTTAAAGCTGAGAAAGTAGCTTCACATAAATATGTGGTGTTGAATGGCAGAAGTACATTTAACGCCATATCAGCGATTGTGGGAAATTCAGTTCTAGTTCCGATCCAGAATTCAGTCAAGGGCTTTTTTTTTGAAATTGTAGTTTTAAGTTTGAGTCACTCGAAAGCTCAGCAAATTCCTCTTGAGCTTTAAGTGGCAGGTGATCAATCTCACTTAAGCCAATCCAAAACGGGCTTTTGAATCCAAACTATTTTTGGAAATCAATATTTAATTTAAAATATGTCCGGAACTGTATTTCTAGCGCTTTTAAGTGATCTACAATAATTTTTGCAATAAAAGTTTTATAATGAATTTTCTCGATTACAAAATTGTCGACACTGGAAAAATTTCGAACGAATTTTTTCGACCCTACTTTTCCAAATGTTGATCTTTTTAATAAAACTTTCAATTTTATCATTTGAAGTAAATATATCGCAATATTTTCCTTGAAGAGACAAGTTGAGATCGTTAACTTCGCAAAAATATCTGACAAATAACACAGCTTGGATAGCCATAAGTCATTTTAAAAAAAGCAGCAAGTTCACATTTTCGTTCGGTTAAAAACATTCGATCTCGTCGTTAATAACAATAATCTTCTTAAACTTTGACCACTTGACAACCATCTTACTTCTGCATGTAATTAACAAAGTTGTGTAGTTGGAATCCGTATCCTTACAGAGATTTGAAAATAAGCGACTGTTAAGGGCGTGGCTCTTAATAAAATTTATGATCTTAACAGCATCCTGAAGCACATCGTTCAATTCTGGTGCTAATTTTTTTGCTGCAAGAGCCTCTCGGTGAATAAGGCAGTGAGTAAAAGTTATATGATCATAATGAGCAGCTTGAAAAAATGATTTAAAACCAATATTTTTGCCCGTCATCGCTCTTGCACCATCTGTGTGCATATTCCACAGCAATTTTTTTCCATTCTAAACTTCTGCTTTTAAAAATTCGTCAACTTTACAATATATGTCTTTCCCTGTAGTATGGTCTTCCACAAGACGACAAAATAACAATTCTTCCTCCACGCTTCTTATAAACGTACCTGACATATACTAACAACTGAGCCAATTTAGTAATATCAGTTGTTTCGTCCAATGAATTGAAAATTTTGGGCTTTCTTTAATTCTTGTAATAAGTTGTATTAATTGATCCTTGTTAATATCAGAATTCTATTCGAGACAGTGTCGTTCGACAAAGGAATTTTTCGAATAAATCGCCATATTTCTTCCATGTAGTATTTCTACCATTTTAATAGCAGCAGGTAACACAAGATCTTCTCCAATGGTGAACGGCTTTTTATTTTTAGCAATACAGTATGAAACTTCATATGACGCTAGTAAATATTTTTCATTAACAGTTATAAGTTTTTCAAAGATTTTCTTTTCTTCTTAAAGATTTCAACAGTCTTTCAAAATATTCTTTTGGTTTTTGACATACGAAAACTGCTTTGATTCAAGATGTCTTTTAATTTTGATGGTTTATACCTCCGAAGCCAATATTCATTGCAGATCAAACAAAGAGGTTGTTCATTACCCTCACAATTTTGAAATGTAAAGCCAAATTGAAGAAAAGACTCATCATATTTTCTTTTTCGCACATTAGATGCCTGTTTAAGTTCAGCCATTTATCCATGG